TCTCTATATACAATACACGTGTGTTTATCTCTATATCTTGTGTTTATCTCTATATATACAATATCCATGTGTTTATTGCTATATACATTATCCATGTGTTTGTCTCTATAGATACAATATCCATGAGTTTATCTCTTTATACAATATCCATGTGTTTGTCTCTATATGCAATATCCATGTGTTTGTCTCTATATATACAATATCTATGAGATTATCTATATATATATACAATATTCATGAGATTATCTATATATATACAATATCAATGAGTTGATCTCTATATATACAATATCCATGAGTTTATCTCTATGTATACAATATCCATGAGTTTATCTCTATATATACAATATCCATGTGTTTATCTTTTTATAAAATATCAATGTGTTTGTCTCTATATACAATATCCATGTGTCTATCTCTGTATATAATGTCCATGAGTTTATCTCTATATACAATATCTATGAGTTTATCTCTATATACAATACTCTTGTGTTTATCTCTATATACAATACATGTGTTTATCTCTGTATGCAATACTCTTGTGTTTATCTCTATATATACAATATCCATGTGCTTGTCTCTATATGCAATATTCATGTGTTTGTCTCTATATATACAATATCCATGAGTTTATCTTTATATATACAATATTCATGAGATTATCTATATATATACAATATCCATGTGTTTGTCTCTATACATACACTATTCATGTGTTTGTCTCTATACATACAATATTCATGTGTTTGTCTCTATACATACAATATTCATGAGTTTATCTCTATATACAATATCCATGAGTTTATCTCTATATACAATACTCTTGTTTTTGTCTCTATATATATAAAATATTCATGAGTTTATCTATGTATATACAATATTCATGAGATTATCTATATATATACAATATCCATGTGTTGTCTCTATATATATACAAAATCCATGAGTTTATCTATATATATACAATATTCATGAGATTATCTTTATATATACAATATCCATGTGTTTGTCTCTATATATATACAATATCCATGAGTTTATCTCTATATATACAATATCCATGTGCTTGTCTCTCTATGCAATATCCATGTGTTTGTCTCTCTATATATACAATATCCATGAGTTTATCTCTATATATACAATATTCATGAGATTATCTTTATATATACAATATCAATGTGTTTGTCTCTATATACAATATCCATGTGCTTGTCTCTCTATGCAATATCCATGTGTTTGTCTCTCTATATATACAATGTTCACGAGTTTATCTATATATATACAATATTCATGAGATTATCTATATATATACAATATCCATGTGGTTGTCTCTATATATATACAATATCCATGAGTTTATCTCTATATATACAATATTCATGAGATTATCTATATATATACAATATCCATGTGTTGTCTCTATATATATACAAAATCCATGAGTTTATCTATATATATACAATATTCATGAGATTATCTATATATATTCAATATCCATGTGTTTGTCTCTCTATATATACAATATCCATGAGTTTATCTCTATATATACAATATTCATGAGATTATCTATATATATTCAATATCCATGTGTTTGTCTCTCTATATATACAATATCCATGAGTTTATCTCTATATATACAATATTCATGAGATTATCTATATATATACAATATCCATGTGTTTGTCTCTATCTATATACAATATACATGAGTTTATCTCTATATATACAATATTCATAAGATTATCTATATATATACAATATTCATGTGTTTGTCTCTATATATACAATATCCATGTGTTTTTCTTTATAAACAATATCAATGTGTTTGTCTCTATATACAATATCCATGTGTTTATCTCTGTATACAATATCCATGTGTTGTCTCTATATATACAATATCCATATGTTTATCTCTATATACAATATCAATGTGTTTGTCTCTATATACAATATCCATGTGTTTATCTCTGTATACAATAACCATGAGTTTATCTCTATATACAATCCATATGTGTTTATCTCTGTATACAATACTCTTGTGTTTATCTCTATATACAATACTCTTGTGTTTATCTCTATATACAATACTCTTGTGTTTATCTCTATATACAATACTCTTGTGTTTATCTCTATATACAATACTCATGAGTTTATCTCTATTTACAATATACGTGTGTTTATCTCAATATACAATACATGTGCGTTTATCTCAATATACAATATCCATGAGCTTATCTCTATATACAATACTCTTGTGTTTATCTCTATATACAATACCCATGAGTTTATCTCTATATACAATACATGTGTGTTTGTCTCTATATACAATACACCTGTGTTTATCTCTATATACAATACTCATGCGTTTATCTCTATTTACAATATACGTGTGTTCATCTCAATATACAATACATGTGTGTTTATCTCAATATACAATATCCATGAGCTTATCTCTATATACAATACTCATGAGTTTATCTCTATATACAAGATTCGTGTGTTTATCTCTATATACAATACACCTGTGTTTATCTCTATATACAATACTCATGCGTTTATCTCTATTTACAATATACGTGTGTTTATCTCAATATACAATACATGTGTGTTTATCTCTATATACAATACATGTGTGTTTGTCTCTATATACAATACTCTTGTGTTTATCTCTATATACAATACCCATGAGTTTATCTCTATATACAAGACTCCTGTGTTTCTCTCTATATAAAATACTCATGTGTTTATCACTGTATGCGCAATCCTCCTCTCCTTCTCTGTATACAATACGTATGAGTTTATATGTATATACAATACAGGTGTATTTCTCATCTGATATTTGTAGACCTCAAATGCTTTCTCATTTTAAGTTTTCTCCAACATTATGTGTATCAGGTATGAAGTAGTAGTTCCTCTGGTTGAAATCTCCTTTTTGTGAACTGCTCATAATGTAAAACCTATCAACGTAGTTACTGTGGATAGGTAAGCAATACTTATCCGCATTACGGAGGTTGTATTATGAATTTTCCGAGACAAGCGGAGACAGTAAGAAGTTATATAAGTTGGTGTGAAATTATTGTTAATTTTGTAGATAGGTTGTAGTTTTCTCTTAGATCTTCTCTGAGATAGGGGTTCGAGTCCCCATTCAGTTCTCTGCTTGAATAAGAGGACAATCCCGTAATTAAGTTTTTGTATATTTTATTTCTAGTTTGCCTTCGGCACTGAGTGTACACCCATCCCATACTTCGCAACAGTATTCAAACAATGGAAGAATATCGTATCATTTAAAGATGTACTCTTCTGAGGTGTCTCTCACGTTCAACTCCAATTTTGATCTAGTATAGCGGGTTTTTATTAAATATAAACAAATGTAAAATGTATCAAAACACTCGATGCCCATTCTTTGCAGAACTTGTTTTACAGATTTTAAAATAAATTACCAATTCGGCGGCCATTTTTCTTGTTTATTTCTTGCACTGTACGCAATGCTAAAATTCCGCCATTTTGACGTTATATATATATTATCTTTTAACCGTAGCATTTTTTGCTGGGCAAGTTCTAAATGTTCAATGTTATGAAAATAGTATACAACAAAGTGGAAAATTGTATAGTATTCGTATTTTACTACTGAGTTTCGTCAACTGAGGAGCTTTTGGTTTGTTTTCCTCCCGCAGAAGATGACAAATGAAACAAAACAAAAATTTAGCAAAAAAATAAGCACACAGACAGTCGTTTCATAAAAATCATATACAGTCGCAACTCGTATTGGATCCTCTATATCGATTTATATCTTTAACATAATCAAGTTCAACATTTTAAATAATAAGGTTTATGTTTTTACAGGGTTGCATTTACCTAACCATTTATCTGCTCAATTTTGGATCTAACTCAGTCAGTGTTAATTTTAATTGAAATAGCCCGAGGAGATTCCTCCGAACGCAATACAGATGTGTCATCGATAGGCTTTCAAGATTATCATAAATATCATTAATATAGATAATGAATAATAAAGGACCTATAACCGAACACCGTGGGACACCAGCATAAGTAGTTTTCACGTGTGATTTAGTGTTATTTAATGTTCACGCCGGTATAAACCTCAACTGGCATAGGAATGCATACATAGTTACCATAGCGGGCTTAACAGAATACATGGCTATGCATGTGACTGTGACAGGGTATTATTTATATTTTATTGTTTTATAATATGTATAAGGACATGCTTTGACTATGTCATTATATTTACTGACATGGGTCAGAAGGTGTTTATTTATCTAATGATGTATTAATGTGTTTTATTTGTATTTATAGTTTGTATGAGTAATAGTTGGATAGATATATATATATACATATATCAACATACCAGGTAAGTAGCTATTTGCTTGACACAATGAGTTGTACTCACCTGTATGTTATAAGATTCATGTGTTCATAATACGATTCATACCTTGACCTTTGACATAACCTGACTTACACGATCTGATTGGCTGGATACCATCTGGAAAGGGAAAGTTCAATACGATTTTATGTAGGTACTTAGTTCTTTGTTAAGCAGAAGAGGATCACATCAGGTTTAGAAATTGGGGATTGGGTGAATCATGAGTGAAATTGAGTTGTGAGACAACAGATTGAGAACAGTATGAGATACGACAGATTGAGATAAACATGACAAAGAGAACCCTGTCTCTATACCTCTACAATATATGTAGGGATATTTTAAGATGTTGTAATGAAGCAACAGCCATTTGAAGAGACCAGCGTTTTGATTTTGTTTTTACCACCCTGTTACATAACCGATATGCGTTAAGACATGAACCAGCATGAACATTGAACGAATACCGTTCAATCCTTATATGGTCATTTGCAAACTGTGCATTCTGTAGGGCATCGCAATCGTCATATATATGTGGCACAGTGTGGCGAAGATTTACATCCCAAAGATCCATGTATTCAGAAAAATTCTTATGATAGTACATTTAAATAAAAGCAAAACAGATACATTGTGTGTATTATTTTATCGCATGTTTTAAACACAGAATAAACTTCATAAAACAATAACGCGAAATGGGACAACAATAATTAAATCCAAACATGCAGCTAATCAAACATTGGCATTGAATGCCGTAGTTCGCGGAAGTGATGCAAGGACCATGTGACTTTGAGTCGACGTGCGAAGACAGAAACCGGATGTGACGTCACTTAGCCGAAGAAACCGAAGAAGTCTGGAGTGTCATAACCCCTCATCCTCCGTGCTGTAACGACAAATTGAACAAGTGTTAAACTTCTATTAGATATTTGATTATCACAATGGCAACAGCGCGGTGAATGAGAGTTTACGTTGTTAATGAGAGTTATCAATGGATACAGCAAAAACAGGTCAGATACATGTTTCCATGGTAACAAGACACGGCAATTAATATTTCCATAGCAACAAGACATTGTGAATGCATGTTTCCAATAAAACACAAATACTGTCTTCTGTCACCTGTCAAGACAAATATATAGAAAATCATTGTAGACGTTTCATTTCCATGTCAACATATTATATAAACAATGTATCAGATGCAAGTTCCATGGTAACACGGCAAGGCAGAAATGTTTCCTGGAAACACACTTACAAAGTGCGATACAAACATGTTTCATGGCATCGAGAAACGACAATGAGAATTGACCACGAAAGAAAAAAAAATCCAAGAAAGATGTTATAATATTGTTTTCTGAATTCTTAACAAACGCGAAGTTAAGTTCTATTTAGATTTTTTGAGAATGTTGTAAACTTGTGTAAAAATAGAGGACGAATGGAAACCACTACTAGCAGTGTTGAGATATGCTAACATGTGCTTACATGTAAGAAGGAACGCATTCCACTTTACCTTCCCCTAGATACATTTGTATGCACAGTTTTGTTCGTGGATTGTTTTTAATGCAATTAAATAAGTATTAAAGATAAACGCGTACAGCTAAATGTATTTTAAATTTATATGTGTTATGCAAATTAGAAAATTATTCATTCATAAAAAATACATTGTTTCGTAAATGACGTAAATTTTTTGTAAAGTCACTGTGTGAAGGAGTGCGTCTGCTTGAACTGTAAATCACCAGACATGCGCATGACAGAGTACTTTCATTCAATGTGTCATCTTTAATCGAGCTGTAAGTATAATTACTTATGTTTTTTCTGAAGGTCATTTGATTATTGACAACATCAATCACAGCCGTCAAAGTCTTATCTCGTGCTCTTATAGTATCACTGAACATATAAAAGGGAGTAGTCGATTTGAGGTATCGCAGAAAGTCTCACTACGTAACTAATGACATATGTTTGCTTTCTTAAAGCAATAATAGTAAAATTGTAATAAAAAATGTATATGATTGATGGATCCATTTATTACGTAGACGTTTTCAATTAATTTGATATATCCAGACATGGCGACGATAAATCTATAATTTTTTTAATTAAGTACTTTCTTAACAAATTAAAACGTACGGCTTCACGTAATGGTACAACTGTGTTTGTACACTCATAGCACGCTGTTACATGGTTTCGGTACCTCGTTTGTACCTTGAGGATATTTGTGATGTCAGGCATATGGGATCTTATACGATCTCATATGATTTTTATGAAACGAGTATCGGCGACGGTCTCATAAAAATTCAGACGAAATAGAAACAAGATTGTAATTTATGCAAAATATCTAATAATCCCAGCTAATTTCTATGAAATGGCTCCTTATGACGAACTATTTTTGTAGAAGGGATACATTTCAATTCGTCTGAGATTTCGCCCGCAAACATAAGCGTTAACTGTTATGAATATAATCTCACCCTGAGGTTTACATTTCTATTAGGAATGACATCTATTTTCTTAACCGATTTATGATGTTCTAAAACCCAGTTCTTTATAATTAACATATTCCCTTGTGTGTTTTGGGATGCATTTTAAACGAACTATTTTACAAAATGGCGGAATAGACCGTGTATTTCCGTCAGGCGACAAAGATCAATCGGCAAACCATTCGTGAATTTTCATGGACGCTTGATCTTTGACATTACAACAGGATATCTCCAAATCGATAACGAACGGCACTTTCCGTAAACTGCTTTAGCGATATAGATCATAAACTAGAAACAGCGAAGGGAAGAGTATACCAACCCTGCACCTTATTTCCTTAATATCTATAAACGTTTCCATCAAATGTGCAATTTGAAAAAGAAAATGGAATACAATTTAAATATATGATTCTTTCAAAGTAGAAGACTCTTCTGTTCTGTAAAGTTATCGCTATTGAAGCCATTCGGAACATCCATAACCATATTTCGGTTTTTTGTTGTTGTTATTTCTAAATTAAATTACAGTTTTGTAAATCTGGCATGACTTTTCCTACTAGGGTTGCCGCACTTGCGTAGCAATACGCAAGAAACTCTGTTCCTGAACCCTCCCGTAAAAGCGTGCAAAAGCAAGTGTAAAATTGCAAAGTTCGCCATTCTCACTCAATACTAAGCACACGAGCAATTATCTTATGCAGCAGCATTCACACATTTATAAGCGTAAGAAAAATAATCTTGGAACACGAAAATTTCGTAAGCACCTTAACCTTTTATAGTGCCAAGCGTTTCCTGAAAAATAGCGCAATTATATATACAGTACTTACAGTTTGGCGTAATTACGTTGACGAGGCTAAAAGACATATTTGCCATCGTGAGAATGTTATATAATTTGACCATAATGTGACATTGTATTTACATTATATATATTTCATATACACTGTGACGTCAAGTAATTCAGAAATTGGTAAGTTCTGAGAGACACAGATTCACAAATCCTCTTCATGATGATATATCATCTTATACTACTGAGGCGAGTAGTATAACATAATAAATCAAGTCTGGTTTGTAAATTTTCAAACAGTAACAAAGACTTTTGGTTAACCTCATGTCGTTATTATGTAACTTTAGTGAGAGCTACGTACCCGCATGTGAATACACGGGCTGTTAACATGTAGATGTACAAATGGCGGAATTATTGCAGCACGAAAAATGAACTTCATGCGTTAAGAGGTTAAAACGCCCCCATTACGGTAATACTTAACTTTCACTAACCCCCAAATTTAAAACAAATCAGTTAATGAAATAGAAGAATTAGCGAAAATGAAACTTACATCCAGTTAAAAAATTTGGCGACCATCCTCCCTGTGTGTTTCGTTGTTGGATTCGCTGTTGTCGACCCCAGGTATTTCTCCGGGGAGCCATACGATTAAATCCTCTTGATAACATTCTACCCCTGCTCCAGTCATCATCATCATCGTCTTCGTCGCTTCCCCAACGATTACCAAATCTTTGTCGTCTGCCTCCTCCCCTTCCATACCCCCATGGGGAAGAATCATCGTCGTCAAATCTTTCGTTTGAGTCGTCTCCCCACCATTGTGCTTGTGTGATTTGTACAAGACAGACAAAAAGGAGGGTCAGTATTGCCGAAATGTGCATGGTCCCAGAATAATTCCTCTTACAGCAGGGAGATCGAATACTTCAAGAGCACTGACGATCTGACATCCCGAACTCAATACATATAGGCTGGCTTGGCTCATTAATGCATACTAAAGAGGCATCCTTAGGGGGAATACACATAGATTAATGACGGAAATGCATCTGTCTTTTTAAAAAAACACGCGTGAAAAATATCAAGGAACACTCAAGAAATAGTAAGTATATGCAAATAATTGAAAGAGCGTTTTCGATTTAATATGATAAATTATTCTCCAAACCTACGAAAAAAACTCTAAATAATTGTAATAAACATATATAAACGTTATATTCTTTGTCGGGAACTCGTCATATGACGCAGTAGCATGTACGGACACCTCCCCGACAGATTTTATAGCTGTTCAATCAATTGTCATTACCCCCCGAGGCTCACTGCATTAGGTGTACATGCATTATCTGTCAAGCGAATCTGTAATCACGGAGATGTTCATGTAAATTACATAGACTACGAATCGGTATGACAAAGCATTTGTTTTATTAATCTCATTAAGCCTTAAGTATAGACTGAGAAGTAAAACCCGTATGTCATTGTATTCGTATATACATTCATTGTATATAAAACGTGTCTCGCTAAACCACCATCTGATGTACTCGTCCCTTGTGTTATAGCAGTTCTAAGTCGGCCATCTCGACTTTTGGCAACATGTTTTGTCTGTTTGCTGTAAGCAGGAAAATATGAACGAAAAAATAAAAATAAACAACAAAACAAAACAAAAACAAAAACAAGAAAACAACAACGAAGCAATGCCTCCCCATTATTCTCGCGTCAACCCATAAACTTAATTCAAAAACGGTACCACTAAAAATATCCGGAAACGTTAAGTATATTCAAATGTATGTAAGGGAAATTACGATGTTTAGGAATATGACGTTGGTTTTATAATCTGACACTAATGTTGATATAAAATTCTACCTACGTCTGACATTTAATTCTTATAGGAATAAATTCTGACGGTTTCCTTATTTCTATACTTATTTGTCGTCACAAAGTAACGCTATGTATACCGAAGTACAAAGCACTATCTAACCATTGGTCCTCGCCAATACACAATAAATAACAATTACTCGTATACAATGATTGACCACTGATTGACCAATGAGTGACCAATAATTATAACTGATCAGTGAGCGACCAATAACTGACAAATGATTGACAGGTGGTCTGAGTCACGAACATGTACACTGACCCAGTCAGTCGAGGTCATACACTTCGACACCTAAAGCATATATCAATATTGCTGCTTCGTGCAGTTAATAGACACACTATTGGTAAAATAAGCAAAATGTGTGAAAAGGAGATGGAAGGCGATTTTGCATGAAGTATAAAAAAGATGGAAAAACATGAGAACATGTATTTAATTTCTTGGCAGCATACTCTGTGATTTTTATGGTGATAAAACCCCGAAAATGAGACATTTCTAAGCGAGTAAATATTGTACAATGTAATTACATTGCAACCTACCTCGAGGATGCAAATTCGTTAGTGTTTCGATAGGAAAGTATCAAAGGAATTAAGGCAAAATCTTAAGTTAAGTGGGAAATCTTTATTTACGGAAGCTTTCATGAAACTTGGGCCTGCCCTCTAAACGCAAAAAGTCATTTCTATCCCCGCCTGAAAGTTTCCCCGGGGAAGAAAGAAATAGGCTAGCTGATTTTTTCCCCGGGGTTAGTTTTTTTCACCGGGGGAAGAAATCAGCTAGCTAATTACCCCCCCCCCCCCCCCCCTCGTAGTGTTTGTTAATGGGGAATATTGGTGACTAGCCAATACTTTCCCCTCTCTGTATTATTTATTAGGGCGGGGGGGGGGGGGATTATTGGCGAGCTGATTCTTTCCCCCTCTCTGTGTAAACAACTAGGGGGAAACTATTGGTTAGCTGATTCTTTCCCCATCTCTGTGTTAGAAACTAGGGGGAAACTATTGGTTAGCTGATTCTTTCTCCTTCTCTGTGTTAGAAATTAGGGAGGAACTATTGGCTAGCTGATTTTCCCCCCGCAAGCTCTCTGTGTTAGCAACCAGGGGGAAACTATTGGCTAGCTGATTCTTTCCCCCTCTCTGTGTTAGCAACTAGGGGGAAACTATTGGTTAGCTGATTCTTTCCCACTCTCTGTGTTAGAAATTCGGGGGGAACTATTGGCTAGCTGATTTCCCCCCCGCAAGCTCTCTGTGTTAGCAACTAGGGGGAAACGATTGGTTAGCTGATTCTTTCCCACTCTCTGTGTTAGAAATACGGGGGGAACTATTGGCTAGCTGATTTCCCCCCCGCAAGCTCTCTGTGTTAGCAACTAGGGGGAAACGATTGGTTAGCTGATTCTTTCCCACTCTCTGTGTTAGAAATACGGGGGGAACTATTGGCTAGCTGATTTCCCCCCCGCAAGCTCTCTGTGTTAGCAACTAGGGGGAAACGATTGGTTAGCTGATTCTTTCCCACTCTCTGTGTTAGAAATACGGGGGGAACTATTGGCTAGCTGATTTCCCCCCCGCAAGCTCTCTGTGTTAGCAACTAGGGGGAAACGATTGGTTAGCTGATTCTTTCCCACTCTCTGTGTTAGAAATACGGGGGGAACTATTGGCTAGCTGATTTCCCCCCCGCAAGCTCTCTGTGTTAGCAACTAGGGGGAAACGATTGGTTAGCTGATTCTTTCCCACTCTCTGTGTTAGAAATACGGGGGGAACTATTGGCTAGCTGATTTCCCCCCCGCAAGCTCTCTGTGTTAGCAACTAGGGGGAAACGATTGGTTAGCTGATTCTTTCCCACTCTCTGTGTTAGAAATACGGGGGGAACTATTGGCTAGCTGATTTCCCCCCCGCAAGCTCTCTGTGTTAGCAACTAGGGGGAAACGATTGGTTAGCTGATTCTTTCCCACTCTCTGTGTTAGAAATACGGGGGGAACTATTGGCTAGCTGATTTCCCCCCCGCAAGCTCTCTGTGTTAGCAACTAGGGGGAAACGATTGGTTAGCTGATTCTTTCCCACTCTCTGTGTTAGAAATACGGGGGGAACTATTGGCTAGCTGATTTCCCCCCCGCAAGCTCTCTGTGTTAGCAACTAGGGGGAAACGATTGGTTAGCTGATTCTTTCCCACTCTCTGTGTTAGAAATACGGGGGGAACTATTGGCTAGCTGATTTCCCCCCCGCAAGCTCTCTGTGTTAGCAACTAGGGGGAAACGATTGGTTAGCTGATTCTTTCCCACTCTCTGTGTTAGAAATACGGGGGGAACTATTGGCTAGCTGATTTCCCCCCCGCAAGCTCTCTGTGTTAGCAACTAGGGGGAAACGATTGGTTAGCTGATTCTTTCCCACTCTCTGTGTTAGAAATACGGGGGGAACTATTGGCTAGCTGATTTCCCCCCCGCAAGCTCTCTGTGTTAGCAACTAGGGGGAAACGATTGGTTAGCTGATTCTTTCCCACTCTCTGTGTTANCAAAAATACCCGCTAGGGTTTCATGGGAAATATATATGTAACCGATTTTCGTTCATATCGACATGAATATTGCAAAATGCCAGTCAATCTTTACATTTATATTCTAAATATTTAGTTAGTATTTACCTTATATTTGAAATATTTATGTGTCTCTGTCGACAAAGTAATTCCTGGAACAGCCTAACGGCACCAACGGTTGTCTCATGTTTTAATCGAGACGGGATGAGAAGCTTCAAAATTGCGTTCCTTGATCTTTGAACGTAATTTCTTCTGGTATTGCTTAAAGAGGAACTTACAGTGGAAACGTAGAAATAATGGAATTAGTTCCAATTATAATATAGAAAGTGTGAGATTCAGTATCCATTACTGATAAAATTTGAACTGTGGACATTTTCGTTCATGGTTTTATCAGATGTGATCATTTTCCAACTCTGACAAGAAAATATTAACCAAAAACCAGAACTAGGTTCGTCTCTTTAGGATACCAGACAGGGTCATCCCAACCGATATCCCGTGCTAGATTTTTTTATATTCTATTTCCTTCGATATTTGGTTCATTTACGTGACCTTTGGCACTTTTTTTTTTACATATCTCGTTAAGTTTGCATGGTACCTTTACGCGACATTTGGTAACATATTTCATTTACAACTGCACAGGAAATATTACTCCGTTCTTGTGTGATATACCGTGTACCAAAGTAAGTATATCTAACTACTTAATAATTACATTAACATAAGTAATGCTAATATAATCAACATAACTACTTACATATATATATATATCAGCTTACAAAACGTTGTAAAATGCAACACATCTACATGTACTTGGAGTACTGAAAACATACAAGTTGGAAATATGTTCTGTAAACGGAACACAATCGGAAGTCTCCAGACCTTCATGGCAAGCACAGCTTTGTCTTCCGAACTCTTGTGAAACTTTAGTGTATACTGTACAATATTAGAAAGGTTTTTTTAAACATACAAATGGAGCTACAGTGTAAGTACATGTACAATGCAAAAAGTCTAATCAAAGACGTCAAATGAACAGCGAAACAGAAAATATCAGTCTCAGTGACTTACATTTGCTACATTTTGTATATTCCGTCTTTCCGTATTGCAGAGTTTGTTTGTGAGAGTAAGTAACGTCATAATTTCTTGAGAAAACGACGTAATTTTCTCACACAAACTAATGACGTAACAATCAATACCTGCTCACAAGAGCAGATAACTCTGCAATACGAAAAGACGGATTATATGTTGGTGTGGTTCTAATCATGATGTTTCAACATACTACTAATAAAAACTTCGATATAATGCCCCTCGTTTCATTTGCCACCTCGCTTACCTCGATATAATGCCCCTCGTTTCATTTGCCACCTCGCTTACCGCCAACATATTTCACGGTCATTATCATTTTTTTCTTCTTTTTTTTCAAGAATTTCTTTATATGTTTCCCTCCATTTATCCCCAAATACCTTTATAACTCGAAAATTTATCTGAACAAATGGTGGCAGTAAACGAGATTTTACTGTAACGAAGTTAGGTAACTAATGGACTTGAGTAATATATCTTAACGCACATTTTCAGTCGTATGTACGTATCTAGCGACTGAAAGTCTAACATGATTCGGTCGCATGCCCCTGTTTTAAGTTTAAACATATTTTATTGCCAAAGAAATGCAAAAGGATTGGGCACAAGTAACATGAACATTATACACGCCCTTTCCTTATAAGATAAATAATTGTATATACACATCATGAGATGGCTTTCATAGTTTAAATTACCACAGAGAGAGAGAGGGAGCGATTATTACTTATTCATTGCAGTTTATATAATGTACATCTCAATATTCAACATGTAATGCACACATTCACTCTTACTTTTATGTACAAATTATAGTAGATTTTAAAATTTGTCATAAAAATAGAACCATCAAGCACAGCCAGCGCAGTGATATCCTGGCACGATTCCATACTTTCAGCTATTCAACAGTTCGTCACGTCCCGTGCTTAGTGGCTTTCTCCTTTTCATGCCCCATGTGGTTTGATCAAGATGTCATACGAACGAATAGGCAAACGGATTGGGCAAACTCTTACATATGTAGCCGGGCCATAACGCATTTTATCACATACCTGTTGAATCTTGTTATAGTAATACAAGCAATTTTCAGACAATGAAATACCACGTTCTGTATTGCACATGCGCAATACGGAATGTTGTATTAACTACTTTGTATGGAAATCTCCTTGTCATGGCGAACAGAAAGTTCCCGGTATTTGCAAAAAAAAAATCATCTAATATAAAATAATATAAACTTTATTTATTTAACAACAATTTATTTCAACTTATATTAATCACTCTTGTTGGCCCGGATGNAACCCACCTGGTCGGGCAGGTGACCCCAACCTTTTCTGCGCGGACATATATATTCACTCGTGCGATCCACGCTCTCGTGAATATATTCGTCCGCGCAATAACAACGCAAGTGTGTGGTCTTGCATATGTATCGTTACTATGAATCTCTGAATTCTTCTAGATATATTGATTCGTAAATTAAATACGACCGAGTGTCAATTCAAATCTTTCTAATTTTTATGCAATTGTGCTTTATTCCCTGTGTTGTATTATGCTTCTGTAATGAAAATTGATCTATTATGGTAAGCTACTATACGTCGGCTTATAAGGCTTTGGCCGTGGTCAGTTTGGTCAGTTAATATTGCGCGCGGCCAGTTTACGGCAAGGCCACTCTATAAATGTACATGTAACATAACTGTTTTGTGGTTCATACAATTGCAAAAAATGATACCACAAAAAATACCACAAACTAATACCACAAATATGAGGCATGTGAATAAACGTGTCAAGTATTGCTCATCTTAACATGTATGTGTATCAATATAGGTTTCTAGTTTATTTGTTTGTCATGCACCTGTGGTGATGAGTAACACACGTCAGACCGTGTCTATTTTTAGGGACATAATTAATAGACATGCTATAGCAATGACGTAGTGATCAGTGTGTCGATTTCCGTGATAAGCCTGCATTAGGTTATTTACATACACGTACAAACAAACGTAGCCCACTGTATATATACAGACATGTATATCCTTTATGCGTCATTGATCTAAATGATATACTTTCTGGCACATTTTCGATATTATTCCTCGGATGATCGAAACGACCAGATTTAATAGTTTGCTTGAATCTTGTTTGATCGTCTTTTAGTCGTGAATTGACAAAAATAACGGCAGACCACACGCAAAAAAGTTGCAAAAGAGTCTATGGAGAAGTGGTGGATTAAAAACACACAGTTATATTTTACGAAGGATGACTATTTTGCGGATATATTTCACTAGCGAGTGATACGATAAAAAAAAGATGAAAACAAAAATCTACAACTGTAGTTTATCAAGAAAACAACAATTGATTATATTTATAACATTTTATTTATGCAGTAAAGACGTTGGCTTTCGTGATTAGATTATAATATCTCTCGCTACATTCAAATGAGTCAAGAAATGCTGTATTCTGACGTCACCGTCAGGTGTCAGTGATGTTAAAACTGACCACACCGATTGCTATTTTTTCACAGTAAATCGTGTACTCTTATTGGTTGGTTTAGTGTACTGAATGAAACAAGAGTTACAATTATTTGTTTCAGTAGAAAAATATCACATTTATCGATGCTGTAAAACGTATGTTATATTTCACTGGTAAAAAAAGATCTCATTATGTTTTTCAAATGTGTTAGTTAACCAAGAAAGAAAACAAACAAATACACGAACCAAACACTCAAAACAAACCATTTATTTTTGTCCTGCTTCTGTTTGTGTCCAATTTTAGACTACTCATATAATCCTTAAGATAGATCTAAAGAGGTTCCGAACACCCTACTTTCGCTTCACAAACCACATGTTTCACAACCATGTCCGTAGTTATTCACAACATGCAGAGGTTAATCAAACTGGACCTGCGGAGGTTGGAGAGGGACGTGCGCTATTTACGGCGCTTGATGGGTCTTACTAGTTTCCATATGGGAATTCAGTGCGTTGAAGACGATGAAATATCGGAGGCGAACATAGTTTACCGAGGCGTAGAAGGTGCGACAGACGTTTTGGCCTTCCCATTCCTGGAGGTAAGTATACATTTCATATGGTCATTGCATAGACATGATACAGGGCTGTAAACATTTGACACTAGTTATGTTTTATATATCAGAATTCTGCATCGGCAATTCGACAAGGGCCAATGCCATGATACCAACTCATTATAGCCGTGTTACCAGATTACCGTAGCTATGCTAACAAACATAAAAGGTACAAGATACCAGAAACTGTGTTTTTTTTGTGTCGTATTTATATGAAACATTAGCTCCGAAGAGCTATTCTTATGGCAGAACACATGAAAATTATCACAATGGGTAGAGATGTTACAAAACATGCAATATTATTATAAGAAAAAAACACACCTGAAAATTGAAACTAACGTGGCTAGAATTATGCCGGAAATAGTAGCAACATGTTGACACATGTTAAATTAAAGTGAACGTACATATCATTCAACGTAATTTTTTCTCATATGAAATGTTTTTTAAGATGCCTTTGGGAAAACACACAATAAATGTTAACACTCAGGCAGTGCTCATGTATTCCTTTTTTTGGGTTTGAAGTATTTTGAATTTCAAAAGATGAAAACAAGAAAGGGAAGTGAATTTAGTCGCTTGGGAAGTTTGTTTTCGCTTCTTGCCATTTTTCATTTTGAATTAAAAGATAAGTCAGAGGAAGGTGTGGAATTTTGGCCTGTTTAAAATTCATTAAAATTTTGTTCATGAAGTTTTGAAATACCATTTTTTTTGTTTATACCTGAATGACTTGACGACAAAATGTGACGACTCAATTTAACTTATTAAGGTATTTCTTACAATGGTTTAGTTTCTACCGATGACAAATGATAATTTAGACTTTAAAGACCGTTTACTCGTTGCACCCAACTTCAATGTATTTCTCCCGTTTTGAACTCAATTTTCAGTGTGTAAAACAACACACAAACGGTAATATCAGCGTACTAACCATTGTGGTCGTGTTGTTGGGGTAGGGATTGGTACAGTGTATTGTTGAGGAGATTAGGGATTGCAGGTGGTGGTGTAACCCGGAATATTTGGTTTATTCACTATATGACGTCTTTTGGTGATAACTTCTTTATTAGAAAAAATACACAAAAATCATGCATTAATTGTCACCTTCATTCCCAGGACTTGGAGCCCGGGAAACCACTGCCAGAGATTGCTGATCCGGACAGGAGACTTCTGGGAGACCTGATGTTGGGTATCCCTTATATACACAAAAACGCTCAGTTAAATAGGGAACAGCTGGAAGGAACACTCAGTGTAAGTGTTACCAATATGTCAGTAAGCGTGACTGGGAAAGGACAGGATTAAACGGAATGGGACAGGATAAAACGGGAAGGAGAAGTATTAAACGGAATAGCACAGGGTTGAATGGGAGGGTACAGGATTAAACGGAAAGGGACATGATAAAACGAGAGGGGACAGGAATAAACGAATTTGGGACCAGACTAAAGGAGTGGAGGGGGCAGGATAAAACAGGATAGGATGAAACTAGATGGGGACAGGATTAAACAGGAGTGAAAAGGATTAAATAGGAAAGGACAGGATTAACATGAAGGGAACATGATTAAATGGAATAGACAGGATTGAACGTGAAGGAACAGAATTATACTTGAGGGGAAAGGATTGAACGAGAGGGACCAAGATTGAACGTTAAGGGGCAGAATTAAATTGGTGAGGACAAGATTAAATAGAAGAGGACAGGATTAAATGGGAGAGGGACAAGATTAAATGGGAGAGGGACAGGATTAAATGGGAGAGGGACAGGATTAAATGGGAGAGAAACAAGATTAAATGGGAGAGGGACAGGATTAAATGGGAGAGGGACAGGATTAAATGGGAGAGGGACAGGATTAAATGGGAGAGGGACAAGATTAAATGGGAGAGGGACAGGATTAAATGGGAGAGGGACAGGATTAAATGGGAGAGGGACAAGATTAAATGGGAGAGGGACAGGATTAAATGGGAGAGGGACAGGATTAAATGGGAGAGGGACAAGATTAAATGGGAGAGGGACAGGATTAAATGGGAGAGGGACAGGATTAAATGGGAGAGGGACAAGATTAAATGGGAGAGGGACAGGATTAAATGGGAGAGGGACAGGATTAAATGGGAGAGGGACAAGATTAAATGGGAGAGGGACAGGATTAAATGGGAGAGGGACAGGATTAAATGGGAGAGGGACAAGATTAAATGGGAGAGGGACAGGATTAAATGGGAGAGGGACAGGATTAAATGGGAGAGGGACAAGATTAAATGGGAGAGGGACAGGATTAAATGGGAGAGGGACAGGATTAAATGGGAGAGGGACAAGATTAAATGGGAGAGGGACAGGATTAAATGGGAGAGGGACAGGATTAAATGGGAGAGGGACAAGATTAAATGGGAGAGGGACAGGATTAAATGGGAGAGGGACAGGATTAAATGGGAGAGGGACAAGATTAAATGGGAGAGGGACAGGATTAAATGGGAGAGGGACAGGATTAAATGGGAGAGGGACAAGATTAAATGGGAGAGGGACAGGATTAAATGGGAGAGGGACAGGATTAAATGGGAGAGGGACAAGATTAAATGGGAGAGGGACAGGATTAAATGGGAGAGGGACAGGATTAAATGGGAGAGGGACAAGATTAAATGGGAGAGGGACAGGATTAAATGGGAGAGGGACAGGATTAAATGGGAGAGGGACAAGATTAAATGGGAGAGGGACAGGATTAAATGGGAGAGGGACAAGATTAAATGGGAGAGGGACAGGATTAAATGGGAGAGGGACAAGATTAAATGGGAGAGGGACAAGATTAAATGGGAGAGGGACAGGATTAAATGGGAGAGGGACAAGATTAAATGGGAGAGGGACAAGATTAAATGGGAGAGGGACAGGATTAAATGGGAGAGGGACAAGATTAAATGGGAGAGGGACAAGATTAAATGGGAGAGGGACAGGATTAAATGGGAGAGGGACAAGATTAAATGGGAGAGGGACAAGATTAAATGGGAGAGGGACAGGATTAAATGGGAGAGGGACAAGATTAAATGGGAGAGGGACAAGATTAAATGGGAGAGGGACAGGATTAAATGGGAGAGGGACAAGATTAAATGGGAGAGGGACAGGATTAAATGGGAGAGGGACAAGATTAAATGGGAGAGGGACAAGATTAAATGGGAGAGGGACAGGATTAAATGGGAGAGGGACAAGATTAAATGGGAGAGGGACAAGATTAAATGGGAGAGGGACAGGATTAAATGGGAGAGGGACAAGATTAAATGGGAGAGGGACAAGATTAAATGGGAGAGGGACAGGATTAAATGGGAGAGGGACAGGATTAAATGAGAGAGAGACAAGATTAAATGGATGAGGGACAAGATTAAATGGGAGAGAGACAAGATTAAATGGGAGAGAAACAAGATTAAATGGGAGAGGGACAAGATTAAATGGGAGAGAGACAGGATTAAATGGGAGAGGGACAAGATTAAATGGGAGAGGGACAAGATTAAATGGGAGAGAGACAAGATTAAATGGGAGAGGGACAAGATTAAATGGGAGAGGGACAAGATTAAATGGGAGAGGGACAAGATTAAATGGGAGAGGGACAAGATTAAATGGGAGAGGGACAAGATTAAATGGGAGAGGGACAAGATTAAATGGGAGAGGGACAAGATTAAATGGGAGAGGGACAAGATTAAATGGGAGAGGGACAAGATTAAATGGGAGAGAAACAAGATTAAATGGGAGAGGGACAAGATTAAATGGGAGAGGGACAAGATTAAATGGGAGAGGGACAAGATTAAATGGGAGAGGGACAAGATTAAATGGGAGAGGGACAAGATTAAATGGGAGAGGGACAAGATTAAATGGGAGAGGGACAAGATTAAATGGGAGAGGGACAAGATTAAATGGGAGAGGGACAAGATTAAATGGGAGAGGGACAAGATTAAATGGGAGAGGGACAAGATTAAATGGGAGAGGGACAAGATTAAATGGGAGAGGGACAAGATTAAATGGGAGAGGGACAGGATTAAATGGGAGAGGGACAAGATTAAATGGGAGAGGGACAAGATTAAATGGGAGAGAAACAAGATTAAATGGGAGAGGGACAAGATTAAATGGGAGAGGGACAAGATTAAATGGGAGAGGGACAAGATTAAATGGGAGAGGGACAAGATTAAATGGGAGAGGGACAAGATTAAATGGGAGAGGGACAAGATTAAATGGGAGAGGGACAAGATTAAATGGGAGAGGGACAAGATTAAATGGGAGAGGGACAAGATTAAATGGGAGAGGGACAAGATTAAATGGGAGAGGGACAAGATTAAATGGGAGAGGGACAAGATTAAATGGGAGAGGGACAAGATTAAATGGGAGAGGGACAGGATTAAATGGGAGAGGGACAAGATTAAATGGGAGAGGGACAAGATTAAATGGGAGAGGGACAGGATTAAATGGGAGAGGGACAAGATTAAATGGGAGAGGGACAAGATTAAATGGGAGAGGGACAGGATTAAATGGGAGAGGGACAAGATTAAATGGGAGAGGGACAAGATTAAATGGGAGAGGGACAGGATTAAATGGGAGAGAGACAAGATTAAATGGGAGAGAGACAAGATTAAATGGGAGAGGGACAAGATTAAATGGGAGAGGGACAGGATTAAATGAGAGAGAGACAAGATTAAATGGGAGAGAAACAAGATTAAATGGGAGAGGGACAAGATTAAATGGGAGAGAGACAAGATTAAATGAGAGAGAGACAAGATTAAATGGGAGAGAAACAAGATTAAATGGGAGGGGACAGGATTAAATGGGAGAGGGACAGGATTAAATGAGAAAGAGAAAAGAATAAATGGGAGAGGGACAGGATTAAATGAGAGAGAGACAAGATTAAATGGGAGAGAGACAAGATTAAATGGATGAGGGACAAGATTAAAACGGAGAGGACAAGAATAAATCGGAGAGGACATGATTAAATGGGAGAGGACAGGAACAAATGGGAGGGGACAGGAATAAATTGGAAAGGACAGGGTTAAATGGGAGAGAAAAGGAATAAATGGGAGAGAACAGGATAAAACGGGAGGAGGGCAGAAATAAATTGGGGAGGACTGGATAAAACGGGAGGAGGGCAGAAATAAATGGGACAGGGACATGATTAAACGAGAGGGAACAGCAATAAATAGGAGAGGACATGCTTAAATGGGAAAATACAGGATTAAACGGGAGGAAACAGGAATGAATGGGAGAGGACAGGATTTAACAGGAAGGAACAGGAATACATGAGAGGACAGGTTTAAACGTGAGGAAACAGGAATAAATTGGAGAGGACAGGGGTAAATGTGAGGAAACAGGAATAAACGGGAGGAGAAAAATTAAACCGGAAACGTAAAAAATAAGACGAGAAGGAACTTAAGGGGAAACGATTGATTAGGAATGTCAATCATTAAACGGGAGGAGGGTATATGGCTAAACGGAAAGAACTAAATAACCTGCGTATAATACCAGTTTCACCCCATTATGGACATTTGTTTTTAAAGGCACATGCATCATAAACCGGATAAAAGGTCACAGCAGTTTGTACAAAATTGGAATATGGACCAATAACTTAATTTTTTATCACATCATTTCTGCGTGATATTTAATACTTTTTTTTCTTTGAAATAAAATGGCTTACTGTGTATGGCCTTTGCTTTATAGGTGATGGTCCTGCATGGTATGTGTCATTTGATTGGCTACGATCACGAGACTAAGGACCAATGGCAACAGATGTACAATAAAGAATTGACGATTCTTGACAAATTCAACCAGAAAACTGGATACACCTGTAAACCTCTTTTGGGCATTGGCCACGGATGATGTGTTGTAAAATACAGTTTTGCATCATTTTATAGTCGTCCTTTTCACTCTTGAAAAAGAAATTGAATTCAAACTGTGCTAGAACTTTAAAAAAAAGTACATGTACATGTGATATCTGTTGGATACACATAGATAAATTAATGGGAAGAATAATTGATCTGGAGATGAATTTGCGCTAAATGACAGCTTTTCAAGGTGGACATATATGGGTGCACGTGCCAACATTGGAACCTTAGTACTTATACCACTTGTCTACTTGCTGGCTCTGTCGGACAACAACTTACGAATCCCTGTGCCGATGTAGAATGTGAAATTTCCCTATAGCTTTTCACACATGCAGTATATAGAGTGCAACCCCACCCCACCCCACCCTTAAATTCATTTTTTGATATATATATATGTATACTATTAGTGTAGTGGGACGGTGACAGGGAGCTCCGGTTGATTAGCAGTCATTTTGTTAGATAAAGGATTCCAAGATTCGAATCTCGGTCTTTTTTACAGACAGAATGCTGTTGTTTATGAACAACTGTAAATAAGAAATAAAAAAAAAATGAATGTTTATCTTGATTTGAGTGTGATTTTTTTTTTTTTTTGAAATTCGGGTAAGAAGTATTCCCCAGAAAGTGAGCTCACAAGACCGTTGAATAATTGGCCAAGAGTAGTACCCTTATGACGCTACTTAATATCTTGATGACGGCCTTGTACGGTAGGATAAGTTGCTGGGTATCCACTACCACTGGTACCGGTGTAGGTGTTAACTGACCTGACAAATGTAAAGAGATTACCAGTTATTCGTTTTCTCTACATAAAGTACATACACAATCGGGAGGAAAAAACCTCATGCCGCACTGAACATTGAAAAAATACCGTTCAATCCGTACTAATTATCATTTTGTGTGACGACGTGGTTTAAAAAATCCTTTTATATGACGTTTAACGGTTTTAAGTGTCATGCTGTGCTACTTGTTCGAATGGTAAAAAGAGTAGCATTTATCTTTTTGCAAGAAAAATTCCATGTGTAAGGTTTTCGTCGAAGATTTGTGGTCGTTGTATGATATGTTAATTGAGAATTAGTTTTCCTTAGTTTCCAACATCCTGCTATCACTAGCCCTCCATCACTGGGTCGCGGGTTCTAGACCTACGTGGGGCAGTTGCCAGGTACTGGCCGTAGGTCGGTGGTTTTTCTCCGAGAACTCCGGCTTTCCGCTATCATGAAAACCTGGCACGTTTTTAATTGACCATAGCTGTTAATAGGACGTAAAATACAAACAAACAAAACATCTTACTATGTCTAAGATCATTGTTGGCCCAAGAAATATCATGAGGCTGACCAACAGTATCGTGATGGATGCCACAAGCGGTGATGCAGGATACGCTTATACTTGTCTTCTCCCACCGACTTGTGAGTTCCATATCAATTTGTCCTGTGTTGACGCTGTAATTTTTAAAAACAAATATTCTGCCATAAGCACATATCTTTGACGATTTAACTCCTATTATGCGATCTTTTTATAACTACCTTCATTTACTAAAATAGTCTGTCTCATTTTATAGTAATATCTGCCTTTTTTTACAGTGATAGCACACGTTTTTTTTTAGAATTTTATACTCTGTGATATATGTCAATGATTGAATTAAAAAACGTTTTATTAGGTCAGATCTATTATTATTCTCACTCTTAAAGCAAATACTCATTTTTATTTACAAGCTGCATTGTGATCTTAATTATTCTAAATTGTGATATCTTGTAATAACATGCCTATTTTACCTGAATTTTCTTTTAAGGACCCCCTTACCACTGCCAAACAATCTAGAATGTGTGCGTTGGAAACCTTTTTCTCCGGCATGACTATACGTTTGATGAAAAATTCCTGAAAAAAAACCGTACCTTGTGGAACTTCTATGAGAACATATTAGAGTTGAAATCAAACAATCAATTATTTTTCATTGTCTATTTCATATAATGTAATGTACAATTTGTATTTCAAAGTATTGGCAAAACATATGAATAAAAAACACGCCTGGCGTGAGATCGTGATACGTTTCGCGAGATTTTCTGGGTGTTGTTGGGCGTATGTGTTGAAAACTTGTAACTGGTGAGAATTAAACAGGGATTATATGATTAATGACGTCAGCACACCCGTGGCTTTGCACGTGTTCGCTTGGAATTGTAAAACCGTCGAGTATATAACATCCAGTAGGGTTGTTGAAGGTACAGTTGATCTTCAGACGACAAACAATGGACCGCATCAAACAAACACTAGCTGTGAGCATCCTGGTTGTTTCCTGTCTAACCCTAGCCTTTGGTAAGTCATATATTTGTTACTCCTCAAAAAGTTAATATAAAAAAAGTCAACTAATCCGGTCTTAAATATGTATTTGCAATATTTTTCCTTTTGATTTTGATGTTTCTGTTTCCTTAGATCCTGTTTTTCCCCCAAAAAAAGGTGTGTGTTGGTGGGTGGGGGTGGGGGG